CATCAACATGTGTTTGACACTCCCTCCATCCCATAATATAAGAGCGTTTTTGACACTAGAACGCTCTTATATTATAGGACATAGGGAGTAGTTCAGTAAGTGTTCGACGGATGATTGAGAAAACGAGGAGATCCAGGTGGAGGCGTCACCCAGATAGTCCCCGGGGAGAGTAGGCGTGGAAACTAGCCGTGGGAGAAGGCGATGCAGGACCGGAAATTGTAAAGGATGCAATTTTGGAAAAGGATACCTGAGCGCTAGACCATGACGACTATGGGCTTGCCAACGCTGATGCAGACCATGGTGGCAACAAGTTTGCCCCCAAAGAGCGCAACGGTGACCCGGGTGAGGTGGCGGAGTGCGGCGGGGAGCTGGGGCTCTGATGGTTGGTGTCGAGGGGGCGGTGGGGCTTGTGACGATGGTGGGAGGGGTGGGGTAGCCTGGTAGCCCATGGGGTCGCTAGAGGAAGAGCATTAGTTGATAAACAGCATCCTTCGGCTCCTACAGGATAAATAGAGGCACGCAAACAAGTGATGCAAAAAAGGAAACATCATGTTTATTTCTTCTGACTGAGGTTCTAAAAAATAAATAAACCGAGGTTCCTGTCGGGTCCTCCGCCGCCCACCCGAGCCACTGCTCCACCGCCCGACCGAGCTCGGCCGTGCCCTAGCTCCACTCCGCCCATACCCATCGGAGCTGCCATGCTGGCCCTCGTGCCAAGATCTGCTCCGGCAGCCGCGCCCATGGTAGCTTCACCTGTCCAATCCATACTCCTCCGACCCGGCTTCATTGGAGCTCCTCCGACCCCGCTCCATCCGATGCTATCTCCATTGCCCCAGCTGACGAACCGAAGTCCTCCGTGCTCCATTCTGTCGCCTGATGGCCTGAGGTCGGTCATCCCCATCCTGTTGTGTTCAATAAACTGAACGCCGTTCATTGTTTTTTTAAATGAACTGAGATCTAAAGATTTTTTCTCGAGAAAACGCAAAGACTTCGCATTTATTTTAAAGGTTACATGTCTCCTAGGAGGTGGTTTATAGTTTGTGTTACAATGCTTTTAATGGACATCCCAAGTGTTTCGGCGGATAAACGGAAGAAAGGAATATCGAGCCCGAGCCCAGAGGGCAGCTTCTGCTCTCTGATTTTCTCTGCCACGAAGGGGGCGGAGGGTCGATCCCGAACTAAACTTTTTGATTTGCTGATTGAGCGTGAGTACTATTAGTTGAAATTTGTTAGAGGTTGGCAAATGTTTTGTGTTGATCTTGTTGTTTCTTGTTGCTAAAAGAACAAGAATTGCATAGAGAATTGTATGGAGAAGTCGATTATGTGAACGAAGAAATATATTAGATGGTTGATTGATGTAAATTTTATGGAGAAGGCAATTTTAAGTATCCATGCCAAGAATCCGAAGGGATGCGATAACCTTGGTTGGTACTTGACATTGGTTGTACTATAATCAAAGCTGCAGGCTGGGAAACATGGGATGCATAACCTAGTGTAGCTAGTTGACAAAGTAGTATTATGAAACTAATTAATGGCTTATCTTTTAACAGTGACATTGTATAGATAAAAGTGAAGGCCTAAGTGGCATCGATCCGTTCAAAGAACGTGGCCGGCGGCTTAGCCGATCGATGCATTATTATGGTATCAATTGCCGGCAGATTAGTTAATAGACTTGTAGGATTATGAAAGTATACTGAAGGCCCAAGTGACCTCGCGCACATCAATCAGTTCAGAGATCATGATTGCCAGTGGATTATTCGATGCATTATTAGGGTTTTGATTATGTACTACAGTCTACAAAGTGGATGATGCGATTAGATTACACAAAATCCTCTATCACTAGGAAAATCATGGTGAAGAAATGTGTGCCCGGGCCAAACCACCTACCTGCAGTCTCTCTCTCCATTGCCACAGTTCTGTGTGGAGGGGCATGGAAAGAATATAATGGTGGAAAGTACGTCGACATTGTAGGATAACAGGTATGCGTTGGAAAGATTGTAGTAGTATAAGTCTATTTATTGTTAAAATAAATTAATATGCCTATGGACAGCGGTAGGCGAAGAGCCGAAGACTCTGTCTAAGTCTTCCAACTGTAAGAAACAAATAAGAGGGGCGCATAAGGTTTCTTTCATCGAACAAAGCAAGTGCCAACCTTTGGTTTTCGTCTCTGCTCATTCATAACAGGTGTGTTGATCTCCATTGTGGGCCTAAGTCGTTTTGGTTTGTTGTCTGCTCCTGTTCCATTTGGCTAGCAGTCTTGATTGTGCTTGTGCTTGAATTAATATCCCTTCCATTTCTTGCCTCTTCTTTCAGAGTAATCATCTACCCACACACATTAGTATATATATCTTGGAGCAGTTCCAGTTTGTGCGAAATCTCCAGCAGGTACGCATTTCTTTGCTACAAATTTCTGCAAGCATGTCTGTCTTGAGCAAACTAATTTTTCCATGCTCTAGTTCTGAAAAGAGGAACCGAGATTTCTCTCGGGTCTTCCACCACCCGCACGAGCTCCCACCCCGCCGCTCCGTCCAAGATCCGCTCCGGCCGCCGCCCGTCCGAGCTTCACCCGTCCAAGTCAAACTCCTCCACTGCCATCAGAGCTGCTCCGACCTGGCTCCATCTGAGTTCCTCTGCCCCCATCAGAGCTCCTCCGACCCAGGTCCATCCAATCTCCTCTGCCCTAGCCAGACACACCTGGCTCCTACGTGCTCTGTGCTGCCGCCTGAGCTCGGTAGCCTCCTCGTCTCGTGGTAAGTAAAGCGAACACTGTTCATTGCTTTTTAAATATGAACTGAGAACGAAATTTGTTGATTTGTTGATTGAACATGAGTACTATTGGTTGAAATTTGTTAGAAGTGTGTAAATGATTGGTGTTTATCTTGTTGCTACAAGAACAAGAATTGCATGGAGAATATTATGGAGAAGTCGATTATATGAACAAAAAATGCATTAGATGGTTGATCAATGTGAATTGTAGAGAAGGCAATTTTAAGGAGCTGGCAATTGCATAGGGAATTGTATGGAGAATTACATGCCAAAAATCTGTAGATAAGCTTGGTTGGTACTTGACATTGACTTTAGTATAATCGAAGCTTGAGGTCATTTTTTTGGGCAATATTGAAGCTTGAGGTCGGCAACTTGGGATGCATAAGCTAGCGTAGTTAATAGACAAGTAGCACTATATCTCCAAAAAAAAAAGACAAGTAGCACTATGAAACTGTTTAATGGCTTGGCTGTTAGTGACAAAGTATAGATAAAACTGAAGGCCCAAGTGGCATCACGCACATCAATCAGGTCAGAGAACGTGATTGCCCCGATCGATGCATTATTAATGTATTGATTAACTACTACAGTATATCTGAATTTTACAGTTTTAATAATATATGGTTGTGTGCATCGCTTGATGCAAAGGCCGGGGGTTATCCTTCTTTTCAAAAGAAAAAAAAAACTTCTACAGTGGATCATGCCTTTTGAGTTTAGAGATCCTCTATATCATTGCCTTCGCTGGCGGCATCTCTAAATCCAAGAAAACCAAATCACCTTTTCCTACAGTCTCTCACTCTTCTTTGCCACCTTTGCCGCAGTTGGAGTTAATCATTTTGATTGAAAATTTGGAGGGGTATATAAAGAAAAGAACGGCGGAAGGTACCTTTTTTTTTAACATCAGTACGGACACAAGTGCTAATATACACGCGCATACACTCACCCCCATGAACAAACAAACCCACACCCTACCCTATGAGCATCTCCGAAATAAATCCAGGAATAAACGCGAGCACCCGGATTTGAACCCTGATGGGCTGGGGATACCACAGTCCCTCTAACAATCCAACCACAGGTTCGTTCGCCAGCGGAAGGTACCTTGAAATGATAGGATAGCATGTATGCGTTGGCAAGAAAATTGAAGGTATATTTGAAATATTATCCACACCGGCAGGGGAGTAGTATATACTTCTTCCATTCCTAAATATAAGTCTTTGTAGAGAATTCACTATGGATGACATACATATGTTATTCTAGAGTGTACATTTACTCATTTTGCTACGTATGTAGAGTGGACAAGGGGAGGAGTTAATAAAAGGTTGTGATGTTGAACTGGACAAGTAGAAACCGCAAGACTTGATTTGAATACAAAGTCATCCCTCACGGTTGAATAAGTCAGTTACTCCCTCCGTCCGGAAATACTTGTCATCAAAATAAATAAAAGGGGATGTATCTAGATGTATTTTAGTTCTAGATACATTCTTTTTTGTCCATTTTGATGACAAGTATTTTTGGACTGAGGGAGTACATAATTGGTGGATGATGGCGTGGTCAGCACCTCGGTTGCTGATGCTGATGCTGTCGGAGTTACATAATTGCTGATGCTGTCAGATTTAAATATATATGTCATGGGACCAAATATCAATTATTGTTGAAATAATCTACCTAATGAACGCGCTAACCAGTAGCGGTAGGTGTAGACTTGGAGCTGAAAGAAGTTCATAAGAGGTTTGTTTTATTGCATAAGCCAAGTACCAACCAACGGCTTCATTGCTAGTAGGTGTGCTGATCTCTTTTCCATGCTCTGCTCCTATTGATAACTTTTCTCTTTCAGAGTTACCATTTTCCTTGGTAGAATATTTGCACAAGGATCGTGTTTGATGTACTTATGGAAATTGTATAGGATGGATGAATATTGTGTTATGTATCATTGTATTGATCTGACCCTTGTATGGGGTATATATAGAATACATGAGGGGTAGAGGCTTGGAGTACAAGACAAGACATAGATGGTTTAAACCTATTTAATCTCTACTCTTATCTCTATCTTTAAACCCATATCATATTCCAACAGTGTTTAGATCGCCTTGAGGCAATTCCAGTTTGTGCTTGCTAGACTGCATACATGGCCAAATCTCCAGCAGGTACGCATTTCCTTGCTTCAAATTTCTGTAAATCTGTCAGTCAGGCAATCGAATTTGTTAAGCTCTTGTTCTTAATAACAGCGTGTACCTAGAATGGATGACGCAAGTGTGCTGGAGCTTATACTTGAAGGAAAGGAGAACCCGACCAATCTGTCATTGGCACTGTTACAGAAAATCACCAATGATTTCTCCGAAGAGAGAAAGATTGGTCAGGGTGGATTAGGGGAGGTTTACAAGGTACAATTTACTATTTATACAATACACAATGATAACTAGTTTCGATTATAAAGTACCATCTGTAGAAGCAAAACATGTGGTGTATTAAGGCTGAGCGTCATTGAAAGAACTGACATGATACATATGATTGGTCAGGGTGTACTCCCAAACGGGAATTTTGTTGCTGTGAAGAGGATTGTAAACCCAATTGATGACCAGCAATTTAATCGTGAGTTTAAGATCCTAACAAAGATTGATCATCAAAATGTAGTCAGGTTTCTTGGCTTCTGTTCTAATTCGTATCAGATACCTACAAAAGAGGCTCAATCAGAAGAAATTAATTTGGCCAGCGTAAAAGCAAAATTGTTCTGTTTTGAGTATATCAGCAAAGGAAGCCTTGATCAGCATATTAGTGGTACGATCTTATCACATTTCGATGCATCTCTTCTGTACACTCCCTTACCTTCAATAAAAAAAATCTACCATTGCTCAGTATGTAATTTAACAGAACTCCTTTGGTTGTATGTATATATTCTTCTACAGATGAATTAAGGGGATTTGATTGGGAAACACGTTATGAAATCATCATGGGAATCTGCCAGGGTCTGTGTTATCTTCACAATGAAAAAAATATTATTCATATGGACCTTAAACCAGCAAACATATTACTAGGTGATAAAATGGTTCCAAAACTAACGGATTTTGGTTTGTCAAGACCAAATAAAAACTCACGTACTATGGCACAACCTATTGGAACACGGTAAGCTATATGTTGGTACAACCACTAGTTAACTGACATTTCTCTATCATACAAACCTACATTTACTTTGTGGCATAATGCATCATACTATCACATTTTCCTGCAGAGGATATATCGCTCCAGAATACGAAAAAGATGGAGCAATTTCCTTCAAGGCTGACATATATAGTTTGGGTGCCATAAGCATAGAATTGGTAATGGGGTGTAAGGGCGTCCCTCACAAAAATAATGTAAGTGTAATTTCGCTCACTGTTAAGAACAATGACAATGTTCTGCATGGATCTTTTGTTCTCACTTGAATATGTTCACTATCCTACTGAAGTATATATCTAATTTAAACATGTTTGTAGATATATTGCACATGGGTGGATAGTTTTTTTATGGTGGCGAGTTGAAGTGATGCACTTCTGTAGTTGCACACACTATGAGGCAAACGTGTAGCCTTAAACTAGAAAATTGCCAGCTGGATACAAATACCATGACATTGACATAATTTGCACGGCAAGATTCTTGGATTATAACAATTAATAAACATATCTTAAATGTAGGTACTTCGAAGATGGAGACACAGGTGGAATAAGCCACCAACATCGGTACAATACCATCAAGTCACTAGATGCATTGACATGGCAGTACAGTGCAGGCAGGAAAAACCAGGACATAGACCTTCTATATCGGAAATAATCCACATTTTGAGTGAACCTGGGAGGATGAATGGGAACCCTGACGAGGTAAGGCCAACTCTAACGAATCCCCTAAAAAATAGAGGAGTAAACCTTAGTGGAATATGTTTGTGGA